ATGGGCACCATGAGACCCAGCTCGACACTATTTCTTTCAAACAGCTTTCCAACACCACAAACGCCGCTTTATCCGACGAGCATCAATTCTCCGGTGCTGGTGCGGAACGTGACCACATCGACTGGTCAGTATGAGACACAACCGGGGATGGAATTGATCTATGATGATGTCAACCATTCAACTACGTACACGACAGTCACTCCGGGCAGCAAAACACAGTTGACAAATCCGGTACGTCCGTATCAAATCAGAATCGTAATTATCATCTCACTGGAATTATCAAACTCACTGATTGATACTACACATGACAAACCCAGAATCTACAAAATATTTGACTAATGGAACTTCAAATAAAAAACAGATTTCTTATGAGCAGTTCATTATTTATTTACTGACTGATTTGCTCAATAAAATATAGAGTTGGAAAGTGTTTGAGTTAGTGAACGAATACAAGCCTCATATTGTAACGAGAAGGCGAGCTGGCTGGCAAAACGTCTAATAATTCAATTGCAAAACCAACCGGTGTATGCGTTTGATAATACACAATCAAATCTTAACCTCATTCTGTTGGCCAATCCCTGTTGGTTTTGGTCCGCACTCAGCACGTACGTTGCCTCTTGTTCTGCGTGCTGTTCCGACTGGTTTGACCCGATCGTAGCGCGACCCACGTTGATCGACAGCTCCGACGTTGTGGGATTCGGTGGATATCTTTCTTGCTAGATGCAGATTGTCCGTGGGGCTGTAATTGTCGATTCCTTCGTTTCGAGTGGTAATCGACATTGTCTCGCGGAATACTTCTAACCGCTACGTCCGCGCATCTGGTTGGATAGGCCCTATTCTTGATTGGTTTGTTAGCCGGGGCTCTCTTTGCACCACCTTCCATCACAATATGACAACAACCCTGTTCTGTAGACGGAAATGATAATTAACAAGTCAAAGAGCACTAAACTATAGAAATCATAATTGATAACTTATAAAAAATTCTGAGTGTTTCGCTGTAAATACTCGTTTCATTAGTGCATCAATGTTCTTCCTTCCATCGATAGCAGATCTCCCGCTCTCGTGTTTTTCTGTAAACAGGCCTCAGTCGACATTGTTTGCCAAAACACCACCGGAATTAATGATACTTACTGGTATGAACCCTGAGTACAAAAGATAACACCCTGTTTGGGTCATCAAATCAATTTTATACAAAAAATTAATTCGCGCTTTCAAATCCAAGGACAACATGCATTTAACACAAAGCACATAATGCTAAGGACATTCATTCATCGTTCACAAATTCAGAATTATTATCTTTGGTTTTCAGTTTCAAACCGGTCAAACGTTCATTTTACGAATATAGTCAGTAGAAAATATCCAATACCCATTGTGCCTCAGGAAAATGCTAATTTCGAGTCAGGTTAAAAATTCGAGAAGGATTTGAAGATGGAATAGTGCAAAATTGGCTTGTCATTTCTGTATATACGAACAACAAATGTGCTCGCAAAATATGAACACATTCATTGACAAACCATTATTTTTATTTGGTCACATCAGCGCATTTAGAGTGTTCAACCGCGTGTGTTTAAAAAAAGAAAATATTTCAGATGCACATTATTGAGATTACCGTGCTCAGTGGTGAAGATTAGTACAAATATCTGTTATACTTCTGCATGATAACGGGAGTTAAATGACACAGATCGATCTCCTTCACTTTGTGTTAGTTATTTCCAAACCAAGAGACCCATTTTGTGTTGTGGTCAGAATGAGCACACGCATTCAGCATGCTAGTGACAAGTATAAAAAAACAGGATTCCAAAACCTTTCTCTAGGTTGTCTGCAACATTCATCCAGTCTAACAACTTGTTATGAACTTGTATATGTATAATGGGCATTGCGATAATCTCGCGGGTAAATAGACTTCAACTCCATCCACTGCATCCTAATGTCGGGTACCGATAGAAATCTTGTGCGCCTAGCACTTACATAAAGACGTTACCAGCAGGACCACGAGAAGAAAGATTTGGTATGCGGGATACATATCGTTTAAACTTTGTAAACGGTAACCAAAACTGATACAAGTCTTTTTACTTAGCAGGCTACAACTCAACTCAGTCCCCAGAGGGCTTTACGACGTTATTTTCCAACTCACCAAGCTTGACCTGGGCACGCTGCAACCTGAACTGATTTGAAGCGTATAGATTAACCCTGAACTGTGCCCCAAGAATGAATGAACGTATTGTTTTACTTAGGGTGAAATAATACATTAGTCAAATTAGTGGCAGTTTTATTGAGTACCTGTGTTTAGTTGGTTAAAGTTTTCCGTCATTTGATATACGCCCAATGAAACAAAACGCTGAAGTTGCATGAGATCACGCGGTCCAGTAAGAGGTGACGTTTCCTGTTCTGTACAGGTACATTGGCCGTTGTGTGTATTCCACGGATTTGCGAATTTTAGCGTTAAATGAAGCTCGTGTTTTCTTCATTCATGTTCCTCTCTTCTCTTCAAATTATTTCAAGTTGCTGCCGATGGTTAACACACCAGATGGTCGGACATGGATACTCGACCGTACTGGTCGGGTCTACCTCCCGTGTGCACAATCCTCGTTCCCGGTCGGCTATGAAAGCAGCCAAACTCAGATAGCACCACCAGCTTTGCCATACGAATCCAGTACTCGAAATTTAAATTGTGTACCAGAATACGAACAAGAAGAGGCATTTCGCAATACCACGACAAACATACCAATCTTCCCCAGTAAACGATGTGCCACACCGTTGCCCAGTAGACCGTCACACTCCCGTGCTGATTCTACACCCCATTTGGCGTATTCCGGCACTCGAGCTGCTTCGATCAAGGATCTATCACGGGTACCGCCACGCTTTGCGACACAAGTAAGCTCTTGATTCCTATTTATTTCATGGGTTACGTTCCAAATGTGAGCTTTGCCACACATGCGGAGATTTATCTATAAATCAAACAATTCACATTGTTGCAGACACTTCTGAAAGCAACAGAGGAGCAGTAACTGAAATACAACGCATTCCTGAATGAAATTAAAGTCTCCACAGTCATTAAACAAGCACACTAAATTTTACGAAAAAACAACTGTAATCCCTATATTTAGGAAATTATTTCTTCCCCCACACCTGCATGAAGTTACTCGAAGACTTCTGGGTTCACTGTCTACAACCAATAGAAATTTCAGTTTGAAATCTTTGCCATTTGGTTCTTCTGAGTTTTGATTGTTATGATGGATACATACTGAACTACCTAAAGGCGTGACAGGTAAATGTTTTCAATGAAACTGAAACCACCAACAGTATCCGTACTTTTTGGTGTTAGACTCGGGGTGATGTAATGAGCTACAGAGTTTCACTTGTGATTTAAATTGGAAGATGCAATGAGGCGCGAGGATACTCCTCGTTCAGATTCCGCCTAGTTTATTCACACACAGCTTTTTGATATACATATGACACTCCAACCTGCTATAAAGACTGATAGCCTAAGGAACCAAATCGGTTGTTTGGCAGTGCGTAGGAACTGCAGTAATCCAGTTCAAATAGGCACAAAGATGAGTTGCATAAAGTGATTACCAATTAACCAATTCTAAACCGCTAAGTTGTGCAACAGTTTTCAACAGTGTAATTAGGTTTGGAAAATGGTTCAGAAAAGAAAACAATCGAATATCATTGTAGCATGTGCG